GAAGATTGAAAAAATTAGGTTTGTTTAGTCTGGAAAAGAGAAGACAGAGAGACATGATAACCATTTTCAAAGTCCATAAAAGATTGTTACAAGGAGGAGGGAGAAAAATTGTTCTTCTTAACCTCTGAGGATAGGACAAGAAGCAATGGGCTTAAATTGCAGCAAGGGAGTTTTAGGTTGGACATTAGGAAAAACTTCCTAACTGTCAGGGTGGTTAAGCACTGGAATAAATTGCCTAGGGAGGTTATGGAATCTCCATCACTGGAGATTTTTAAGAGCAGGTTAGACAAACACCTGTCAGGGATGGTCTAGATAATACTTAGTCCTGCCATGAGTGCAGGGGACTGGACTAGATGACCCATCGAGGTCCCTTCCAGTCCTATGATTCTACGATTTATAACTCTCAGTATAAAGTGATAAAACTTTTAACATTTCTGTGTTCACCACACTCAAGTTCAGGAAGAGCTTAAATATGGTCCCCCAGGGTTGGGGCAGTGGAAATATTTGTCCAAACTTCAGTGAGACTGGCAAAACATGCCATAATCCAACATTTAAGGCTATGAGGTTTGAGTATTTTATTGATCAGTTCACCAACCATTCTTTTTGGCATTAAAAAGAACCATACACATGCAGCTTTGCAGCTAGCTCCACATACCCTCAGATACTCTCATGACTGTTTTCAGCGTTTTGATGCTTAAATATTGGCCTCCTTTCACTCTCTTGTTTGTCTCTCCTTGGGCACATATCTACTAGGCCATCCCAAAAAGGTTTGATTATTCTATTTCTAAAGTTTGATTACTGCACCTCATCTATTGTTTATCTACTTGACATGATCAGGTGCCGTGTGGAAGTGGCTCAAAGCTGAATATATGCTATTTACAGGTATTAGTTTCTAAACATTCCCATTTGCATTCCTGTTATGTGGCTTATTTAATGATATAATATCTCTTTTGAGCACCTAGTCATTGGATGGCCTTTGTTCCTCTGCAAGACTCAGAGAAATCCGCAGTTAGACAAGGTGAGTGAGGAAATATCTTTTATTAGACCAACTTCTATGGGGGGGGAGGGAGAGAAGCTTCTGAACTTACACAAAGCTCTTCTTCAGGTCTTCAGAAGAGCTCTGTGTAAGCTCAAAAGTTTGTCTATCATCAACAGAAGTTTATCCAATAAAAAAAGATATCACCTCACCCACCTTGTCTTTCTACTATCCTGGGACCAGCACAGTTATAACAACACTGCATACAGAAATCAATAGTCTCAGTTTGGTTAACAAAGTTGATTGCCATCACTGATAGGAGAATGATTATTATTCTGTTAATTTCCATTAGCATGCACTGCCTTTAATGTTATCATCATTTAGCCATAATTGTCAGATACATAGGCTGTAAAGGAGTCTAAAGACAGGAAAACAGGAGACACAGCATTTTAGTCTACCATATGTTTGGAGCCAGACCTTTGCAGAAGGTTTTGTACTTGGTACGGTAGATGCTAAGAACTATTTTTGATACTGTTCTGCTGATGAGTCTGAGCCAACCCCCTAAACCTCCATCTCAATATGTATGGTCACTCAGAAGTGCTGCTGTTTTGTCTGGCCCACCAAACACTTGAAAGCAAGTTACAGAACCACAATGTGAACTGAACATTTTCACCTTGAAGCCTGTCATTGTGTTGTATCCCTAGAAGGCTGGGAACATTACTGGAGCAACTGTGACCAGGGAAGATTAAAGCAGGTAATAGGCAATGAAGAGCTAAGTGGAAGATAAAGGAGAGACTTCTGGGCAGTGAGACAAATGTTCAAAATGTGGGACAGTGCTGCTTCAGGGAGGAGGAGATCTGACATATGTGCAAGTCTGAACTGGAAAGATCACATGAAGTGGGCTGTAGAAATGCAAGAGTATATTTGCACAGCACAGGATTGTTTATATTTCCATCAGCCAGTGGTGTAACTGCACATTTTGAAATTTACTCTTCAGTATGAGCTTAATAAGGCACACAGAGGCTCAAGATGAAGTGCATGCCTTCTGGGGGAATGGTATTAATCTCATCAAGAACTTTGAGAGGTTGATTTGCAACACCTCCCCCCCCCCTTTTTCTTTTTTTAAAATCAGTGGGCTATTTCCTACCTTTGTGAGTGCTCAGATTCTGCCTGCAAGATGGGGAAGAGTCAATTAAAATAGAGATCATCTTCTCCTACCCAACATCTCAATTCTGAATTGCATCTTGAAACTTTGAGTAAAAGTTACGTAATCTGACCACATTTGTTTTGTTTTCTCCACTTAATATAGGCTGTACCTTGTCTGTAAGGGTATGTCTACACTACGGAATAAGGTCGAATTTATAGAAGTCGTTTTTTTAGAAATCGGTTTTATATATTTGAGTGTGTGTGTCCCCACAGAAAATGCTCTAAGTGCATTAAGTGCATTAACTCGGCGGAGCACTTCCACAGTACCGAGGCTAGAGTCGACTTCCGGAGCGTTGCACTGTGCGTAGCTATCCTACAGTTCCCGCAGTCTCCGCTGCCCATTGGAATTCTGGGTTGAGATCCCAATGCCTGATGGGGCTAAAACATTGTCGCGGGTGGTTCTGGGTACATATCGTCAGACTCCCATTCCCTCCCTCCCTCTGTGAAAGCAAGGGCAGACAATCGTTTCGGGCCTTTTTTCCTGAGTTACCTGTGCAGACACCATACCACGGCAAGCATGGAGCCCGCTCAGGTAACCGTCACCCTATGACTCCTGGGTGCTGGCAGACGCGGTACGGCTTTGCTACACGGTAGCAGCAACCCCTTGCCTTGTGGCAGCAGACGGTACAGTACGACTGGTAGCCGTCATCGTCATGTCCGAGGTGCTGCTGGCCACGTCGGCTGGGAGCGCCTGGACAGACATGGGCGCAGGGACTAAATTTGGAGTGACTTGACCAGGTCATTCTCTTCAGTCCTGCAGTCAGTCCTATTGAACCGTCTTATGGTGAGCGGGCAGGCGATACGGACTGCTAGCAGTCATACTGTACCATCTTCTGCCAGACAGGCAAGAGATGAGGATGGCTAGCAGTCGTACTGTACCATCTTCTGCCAGACAGGCAAGAGATGAGGATGGCTAGCAGTCGTACTGTACCATCTTCTGCCGAGCAGCCATGAGATGTGGATGGCATGCAGTCCTTCTGCACCGTCTGCTGCCAGCCAAAGATGTAAAAGATAGATGGAGTGGGTCAAAACAAGAAATAGACCAGATTTGTTTTGTACTCATTTGCCTCCTCCCCTGTCTAGGGGACTCATTCCTCTAGGTCACACTGCAGTCACTCACAGAGAAGGTGCAGCGAGGTAAATCTAGCCATGTATCAATCAGAGGCCAGGCTAACCTCCTTGTTCCAATAAGAACAATAACTTACGTGCACCATTTCTTATTGGAACCCTCCGTGAAGTCCTGCCTGAAATACTCCTTGATGTACAGGCACCCCCTTTGTTGATTTTAGCTCCCTGAAGCCAACCCTGTAAGCCGTGTCGTCAGTCGCCCCTCCCTCCGTAAGAGCAACGGCAGACAATCATTCCGCGCCTTTTTTTTGTACGGACGCCATACCAAGGCAAGCATGGAGGCCACTCAGCTCACTTTGGCAATTAGGAGCACATTAAACACCACACGCATTATCCAGCAGTATATGCAGCACCAGAACCTGGCAAAGCGATACCGGGCGAGGAGGAGATGTCAGCGCGGTCACGTGAGTGATCAGGACATGGACACAGATTTCTCTGAAAGCATGGGCCCTGCCAATGCATGCATCATGGTGCTAATGGGGCAGGTTCATGCTGTGGAACGCCGATTCTGGGCTCGGGAAACAAGCACAGACTGGTGGGACCGCATAGTGTTGCAGGTCTGGGACGATTCCCAGTGGCTGCGAAACTTTCGCATGCGTAAGGGCACTTTCATGGAACTTTGTGACTTGCTTTCCCCTGCCCTGAGGCGCATGAATACCAAGATGAGAGCAGCCCTCACAGTTGAGAAGCGAGTGGCGATAGCCCTGTGGAAGCTTGCAACGCCAGACAGCTACCGGTCAGTTGGGAATCAATTTGGAGTGGGCAAATCTACTGTGGGGGCTGCTGTGATGCAAGTAGCCCACGCAATCAAAGATCTGCTGATATCAAGGGTAGTGACCCTAGGAAATGTGCAGGTCATAGTGGATGGCTTTGCTGCAATGGGATTCCCTAACTGTGGTGGGGCCATAGACGGAACCCATATCCCTATCTTGGCACCGGAGCACCAAGCTGCCGAGTACATAAACCGCAAGGGGTACTTTTCAAAAGTGCTGCAAGCTCTGGTGGATCACAAGGGACGTTTCACCAACATCAACGTGGGATGGCCGGGAAAGGTGCATGATGCTCGCAGCTTCAGGAACTCTGGTCTGTTTCAAAAGCTGCAGGAAGGGACTTTATTCCCAGACCAGAAAATAACTGTTGGGGATGTTGAAATGCCTATATGTATCCTTGGGGACCCAGCCTACCCCTTAATGCCATGGCTCATGAAGCCGTACACAGGCAGCCTGGACAGTAGTCAGGAGCTGTTCAACTACAGGCTGAGCAAGTGCAGAATGGTGGTAGAATGTGCATTTGGACGTTTAAAGGCGCGCTGGCGCAGTTTACTGACTCGCTTAGACCTCAGTGAAACCAATATTCCCACTGTTATTACTGCTTGCTGTGTGCTCCACAATATCTGTGAGAGTAAGGGGGAGACGTTTATGGCAGGGTGGGAGGTTGAGGCAAATTGCCTGTCTGCTGGTTACGCGCAGCCACACACCAGGGCGGTTAGAAGAGCACAGGAGGGCGCGGTACGCATCAGAGAAGCTTTGAAAACCAGTTTCATAACTGGCCAGGCTACGGTGTGAAAGTTCTGTTTGTTTCTCCTTGATGAAACCCCCCGCCCCTTGGTTCACTCTACTTCCCTGTAAGCTAACCACCCGCCCCTCCTCCCTTCAATCACCGTTTGCAGAGGCAATAAAGTCATTGTTGCTTCACATTCATGCATTCTTTATTCATTCATCACACAAATAGGGGGATGACTACCAAGGTAGCCCAGGAGGGGTGGTGAAGGAGGGAAGGAAAATGCCACACAGCACTTTAAGCACAGCACTTTAAAAGTTTACAACTTTAAAATTTATTGAATGACAGCCTTCTTTTTTTTGGGCAATCCTCTGTGGTGGAGTGGCTGGTTGGCCGGAGGCCCCCCCACCGCGTTCTTGGGCGTCTGGGTGTGGAGGCTATGGAACTTGGGGAAGAGGGCGGTTGGTTACAGAGGGGCTGCAGTGGCAGTCTGTGCTCCAGCTGCCTTTGCTGCAGCTCAACCATACACTGGAGCATACTGGTTTGGTCCTGCAGCAGCCTCAGCATTGAATCCTGCCTCCTCTCATCACGCTGCCGCCACATTTGAGCTTCAGCCCTGTCTTCAGCCTGCCACTTACTCTCTTCAGCCCACCACCTCTCCTCCCGGTCATTTTGTGCTTTCCTGCACTCTGACATTATTTGCCTCCACGCATTCGTCTGTGCTCTGTCAGTGTGGGAGGACAGCATGAGCTCGGAGAACATTTCATCGTGAGTGCGGTTTTTTTTCTTTCTAAGCTTCACTAGCCTCTGGGAAGGAGAAGATCCTGTGATCATTGAAACACATGCAGCTGGTGGAGAAAAAAAAAGGGACAGCGGTATTTAAAAAGACACATTTTATAAAACAGTGGCTACACTCTTTCAGGGTAAACCTTGCTGTTAACATTACATACATAGCACATGTGCTTTCGTTACAAGGTCGCATTTTGCCTCCCCCCACCGCGTGACTACCCCCTCAACCTTCCCCCCTCCCTGTGGTTAACAGCGGGGAACATTTCTGTTTAGCCACAGGCAAACAGCCCAGCAGGAATGGGCTCCTCTGAGTATCCCCTGAAGAAAAGCACTCTATTTCAACCAGGTGACCATGAATTATATCTCACTCTCCTGAGGATAACACAGAGAGATAAAGAACGGATGTTGTTTGAATGCCAGCAAACATACACTGCAATGCTTTGTTCTACAATGATTCCCGAGTACGTGTTACTGGCCTGGAGTGGTAAAGTGTCCTACCATGAAGGACGCAATAAGGCTGCCCTCCCCAGAAACCTTTTGCAAAGGCTTTAGGACTACATCTAGGAGAACCGCGAATGCCAGGGCAAAGTAATCCTTTCACATGCTTGCTTTTAAACCATGTATAGTATTTTAAAAGGTACACTCACCAGAGGTCCCTTCTCCGCCTGCTGGGTCCAGGAGGCAGCCTTGGGTGGGTTCGGGGGGTACTGGCTCCAGGTCTAGGGTGAGAAACAGTTCCTGGCTGTCGGGAAAACCAGTTTCTCTGCTTGCTTGCTGTGAGCTATCTACAACCTCCTCCTCATCATCATCTTCTTCGTCCCCAAAACCTGCTTCCATATTGCCTCCATCTCCATTGAAGGAGTCAAACAACACGGCTGGGGTAGTGGTGGCTGAACCCCCTAAAATGGCATGCAGCTCATCATAGAAGCGGCATGTTTGGGGCTCTGACCCGGAGCGGCCGTTCGCCTCTCTGGTTTTCTGGTAGGCTTGCCTCAGCTCCTTCAGTTTCACGCGGCACTGCTTCGGGTCCCTGTTATGGCCTCTGTCCTTCATGCCCTGGGAGATTTTCACAAAGGTTTTGGCATTTCGAAAACTGGAACGGAGTTCTGATAGCACGGATTCCTCTCCCCAAACAGCGATCAGATCCCGTACCTCCCGTTCGGTCCATGCTGGAGCTCTTTTGCGATTCTGGGACTCCATCATGGTCACCTGTGCTGATGAGCTCTGCATGGTCACCTGCAGCTTGCCACGCTGGCCAAACAGGAAATGAGATTCAAAAGTTCGCGGTTCTTTTCCTGTCTACCTGGCCAGTGCATCTGAGTTGAGAGTGCTGTCCAGAGCGGTCAGAATGGAGCACTCTGGGATAGCTCCCGGAGGCCAATACCATCGAATTGTGTCCACAGTACCCCAAATTCGAGCTGGCAACGTCGATTTAAGCGCTAATCCACTTGTCAGGGGTGGAGTAAGGAAATCGATTTTAAGAGCCCTTTAAGTCGAAATAAAGGGCTTCATTGTGTGGACGGGTGCAGGTTTACATCGATTTAACGCTGCTAAATTCGACCTAAAGTCCTAGTGTAGACCAGGGCTAAGAGTGCTAGTACTCTTATTAGAACTAAATATCTGAATCCATGTAATGCTTTCATACGGTATATGGGAAATGGATTTAAACTACATATAAATTAAGAGGAAATAAACCCAGCTGTCTAATACAAGCTTTATCAGAAGCATACTTAGCTTGCCTTAAAATTGAATATCAAAAGGCACTTTGCAAACCTGAGTATATCATACAGACATCTTTGCATTTAAAATGTGTCAATGACTGAATATTAAACAGCAGCTTTCTTTGAGAGTGTCATTAAGTTCTTCATTTGGAATATATTTTGCAGTGTAAAAAGCAATGCAAATATAGATCTTTGAACAAGGAGACAGCCCTACTATTATAATTCACTAATGAATCATGCTTCTCCAGTTCAGTTCCCAGCAGCTGCACCCACAAACCTCACACTGATCCCTGGCTGGACTGGCAAGAACTTATCCTGTGATCTAGCAGTCCTCAAAATGGTTTTAAATTGCTCCTGTAGCCTTTATGTCACCCTCCTCCACACCTCAATCTTTAGCAATCTACAGCAGTACAGTATGAAATCAAACTCTGTGCTAATTTCAGGGAACTTTATTCTTGTAAGTAGCAGGCTAATAACTGTATCAGGAGTTCTACATTATAACTGACCGAATGCTTTGAAGACAGAATTGAAGATTAGATATACATGAAAAGGCTCAAGAATTTACACCACCACCAGACCTCTACTCAGATAAATTAAGGATTAAATAGACTCTATCTGAGGAGGCAGTGTTTTGATCTCCATGTGGATTAAGTTTTGATCAGTGTCCAGGTTAGAGTTTGAGCATGACTCAATAAATGCTTTGGGTTCAGGTTCAATAGAACCAAAATCTGAGTCCTTTTGAGACCTCGTGAAGTGATAGGAAAGATGATCTTTCAGTTAGGGCAGTAGACTGGCACTCAGGAAATTTGTTTGATTCCTGGCTCTGCCACAGACTTCTTGTGAGACCAGAGGTGAATCAATGTTAGCCTTAGGTAGGATCCACAAAGGGCGTTAGGCATTGCAATGCTGAGCATCATGGTACCTAATTTTTAGGTGCCTAGAAAAATCCAGGAACAATGTGATCCACAAAGCCAAGTTAGGACAAAGAGAGAGATATGGTAGGCCAGTGGTTAAGGCACCCAGCTGGGATGCGGGAGACCCCACATCTAGTCCCCCTTCCCAAACCAGTCTCATTTATCCACAGTGGAACAGCTTCAACAAGAGCGACTGAGAAAGCCCCACACTGAGAAGATCCCATAGCTCAGTGGTTAGAGCATCTTCCTGAGAGGTGAGATACCCTGTTCAAACAAACAGTGTCTTCTCTTCAGGTAGGGAGCAGGGTGGGGAGATTGAAACTAGGTCTCCCACATCCCACTCGGGGAGTGCTTAACCACTGAGCTAAAGGCTGTAATTTGGGCAGCAATACCTCTACCTCCTGGATCTTGAATGGGACCCAAGCCAGTAGGTGCCCTCTGAGCATGCCCACTGGATTGGGGCCCCACACACAACTTAGGTGGGTGAAAACCTATCTTCTCTGGTTTGTGGATCACTCTGGGGCTCAGATGGGAGATAGGCATCTGGATGCCTCAGTGAAGCAGCAATGCACATGTTCAGAGGCTGAAACGTAGGCACCGAGGGGACTTTTACCCTGAAAGAAAAAAAGAAAAAAAACTTAGGCGCTGACTGAGTTTAAGTGCCTACAGGGTTTGGTGAGTTTTGTGGATTGCAGGAGAGCTCAAACTTGAATTTAGACACTTAATCCCCAGAGTTAGGTGCTTATGTACTTTTGTGGATCCCTTTCTTGTGCCCCACTATACTGATCATGTTCACCTAACTTTGGTCTCTCTTGGCTGCTTAAAATGTAAATTCTTAAGGGTAAGGACTCTTCCCTTCATCCTCTACCCCCACCTCACCCCCCCAGCATCTACCACAATGGGATGCTGATGTTTGTTGGCGCCTCCAAGCACTGCTGTAATACATATAAGGTTGTCTGATGTGTAGAAAATTGATGTCCTCCTGCATAGTGGACATCTCAAAAAAAGAAGCAGCAGCCAGCTGACATTGTGAGCTATTGGCTTAATACCGGAAAAAAAGGCCCCTTTAGGTTTTGGTTACAAGCCAAAAGCAAAGGGCTGGATTCCCTACTCCCCCAGAATTGTTAAGGGGGTTGGATTTTTAGAATCCACTTTTAGGCCATTCCTAGCTTAAAGTAAAGTCTTGTGTAGCATTAGCTGAGCCAATGGACAATGTTTTCACAGCACATATTCTGTGTGAGTTGTGTGATTTCATTTGAAAAGAAGAGACAAAATGTTTAAAAGAGTGAAGAGTGGCTGGGAGAGCATTCATGTAACTTTGCCGAGTGAGCCTTTACATGCTGATGGCGCTGTGATGGCTGTGTGAACAAAGCCTGGAGAGGCTGCTTTTCACTAGCAGAGCAGCATAAAACCCTGGGCAGGAAAATGAAGGGTACACTACTATTCAAAAGTCCAGCTTGTACCCTGAGGGTTGTCACACCCACTTTTTTCAAATGCCTCAGATTTGGACCACCAAAATTCTAAAATAAAGGAGGTTGGCTTGGTGTAAGAGCAGCTACAGTCCAGCCAGATAGAACCCAGATTTGGCATCACCTGTGCCACTTTCACAGTGAGGTTCAAAAATCTGAGACATCAACACATCAAAGACCAAGATTTTTTGAAGAGCAGCAGAGAGTAAAGATTGTGATTGAAGACCACCACAAGCTTGGGGGGGGGGCCTTCCAAAAGTAAGATATAAGCACCCAATTTGGAAGTCCTACAGAGTTTACAAGTATAATTATCTCCATTTTACAGCTACAGAAATGGAGGTATGGATAGCTTAAGCAACTTACCCAAGGTCACACAGTCAATAGCAAACCCAGGACTAGCATTCATGTCACTTCACTCCTTGTCTGCGAGTCCATCCACTGCTAGAAATAAGCCTGGACATCTGTGGTTTCATTGGATTCCTGATTCTCCCTGATTCTAATTAGATTAAAAATACTATCACAGCCTCAAGCATTTTATTTTGGAATTCCTGTATCTAGATGAAGACAGGAAGTGAGAGGCATGCTAAATGAGGACAGGAAGTTAGCCCAACAGCAAGGTCTGAATTTGTTATTGTATCTGACCTGCTGAGGAAATAAGAAGAAGAATCATCTGGAAGACAAATGCTACATTTGGAAGACTCAAAAACATCTGGCAACTCAAACATCTCCCTCAAGACAAAACTGAATGTGTACAAAGCAACTGTTATCACCATCACAACATATAGTAATGAAACTTGGCAACTTACCAAGAAAGATACACAAAAGCTAGATTCATTTAATCACAAATGTCTTAGAAGAATATTGGGAATAACATATAGAGATAGGAAGAGGAATGAAGAAGTCAGAAAAATTACTGGACAAGGTTCCCTCTCACAAATAATCTACAAAAGAAGACATCAGTGGCTGGGACATGTACTAAGAATGGAAAAAGAACACTTACCAAATACCCTTGAATGGAAGCCAGAAAACGCAAGAAGAGAGAGAGAAAGACCATGAATAACATGGAAATGAACAGTTCTGAATGACATCAAGCACCTCAACATGAAATGGGAAGATTTGGAGAGGACAGTTGACAGTCAAGGATAGCAAATGTGGGTAGCCCACTGTGCAGCAAAGCACGGGATGGACTAAGATCTAAGGTAATTTGACCTGCTTTGCCAAGCTCTCTTTACATGGCACTTCATCCTTTGAGCTTTCCCTTTGAGCTCCATGGCACAGGCTAAGTATATTTCACGCTTAAGTTTGGAAAAATATTTGCTTAAATATCACTGCTAAAAGTGTAGCAAGCCAACAGGCTACCTAATAGGTAAAAGTGCCCACCTTTGAGATCTAAGACAAAAGACATACTAGCATTTGGCCTCTTTAATTTATATGGCATGGTATGTTCTTGACACAAACTGGAGAGGCTACATGCTCTCTAGGGCAGGAACCACTGCCACTCAGCGATATAGCAGTCCTCAGCAGGGTTCTAAGTTGATCGTGTAGCACTTATTCCAAACCCCCCCCACCACCACCATCTTCAGAAACCTCTCTAGTAGAATAGAAAATCTGCAAACTCTGTGCTAGTTGTAGAGGACTTTATTCTTCTCTAAAGTAACAGAGCCCAGATCCCAATAATATACATGATAGTGTATTTCTGTGGCAGCACATGGAGTACAGAATCTTGGATTTGATAACCTTCTGGGCATACTGCAGGGAGCAGCTATTTTCCTAGACGGGGGGAGAGAGGGGAGGCTCTTTTAGGGGGTCAGGAGACAGGGACAGGAAATGGTGCTTGGTTTAGATAGAGATTGGGGAAGGTTAAGTACAAACATCATTTATATGCGTATGGCTAGTTAGGGCTGATGTCTGTTTAAGTCACTTTGACTCAATTTTAGTTGATTTAAATGTTTTCAATTTAAAAGTACTTTTAGGATTGGGCAATCACTTTTGTAAATGTAAACAAAACCAGGCCAGGGTGTTTAACATCCGTTACTCACCAATCAGCCCCTACAGCTAGGGATAGACAGTGAATCCATGCAGTCAGATTATGCATTATCCCATGCTAAGCACAGTTCCCACTGAAATCAGGAGTTGTGGTGCCTGAAAGGATTTTCAGGACAGATCTTTTAGTATACAACCTGATGATACAAGATATATTATGAAAGATTGTTGCAGTGCTGAAGCCCACCAGAATACACGTGTGGTGGAAGAACACAGATTTTGTATTTTCATTAGAATTCCACAGGGCAGCCTCTGGGTTTGAAATAATTTAACCAACAAAATTATTCTTATAAATACCTTACAGTCCTTACTCAGTCCATTCTCAAACAAAATATCCACTTGTTTCATGAAATAATGGGAAGTGAGGGGGAGGGAAAGTTATCCTCACACTTTGGGGCTTCCAAAAGGGACATTCGC